TTTTAAAGGAAAACTTCATTTATTTAAGTTCAAATTCTAGTGAGGCTTAGAAGTCATTAGAGAGAATTTGCTTAACTGCCCAATTTTAGATTGCTCACTATTATCCTCAAGTTATCCATGGGGTCATTTACGTCAACTACTTTGTGAAGACCTATTGTGTCTCAGGCATTAGGCATACAAAAATATAGGCAGCTTCTCCCCTCAAGGAGGTCACAGTGGATGTGTACATAGCAAGGCTAGGAGGAAGTTGTATGAGGAGTCTGAAGACAATGGGGAGCAAGGGAAAGGTTCTGAGCAGAAAGGAACATGTGGACAAAGGTTTGAGATGATGAAGATGACTTAGAAAGCTCATGTTATGAAACCTAATTCAGGCTTTGTCTTCTATGTTGAAATCCCATCTCTCCTACTTACTAGATAGGTGACATTGGGCAAGTTACCTATCTCATCTGTGCTTCTGTTTCTTCGTTTCAAAAACAGGGACCTCTCTCACAGTTATTACGACTACTGGACAAGAAAACAGAGTTTGGTTTTGAATGTGTTAGGGGTGATTTTGCCTTTACATGTGTAGTGGAGACGTGGAACACACAGTTTGCTGCACATTCTGGAGATCATATAACAGGTTAGGATTAGCGATAAACATTCTGGAGGTGCCAGTGTAGAAATGGTATTTAAGACCGAAGACTGGATCAGAACAGTTCTTGGGAGTCCTGTGCCACTCCTACATTTGGATGTTAAGAAATGTGAAAGAATCAACATCAGAGATGGAGAAGGAGCTTAAACCAAGAGAGTGTGGGTCCAATAAGCCAACAAAACTGTTTCCAAGGAGGGCAAGGTCAACAATGTCAACTCACCAACAGATGATATATCAGGCAGGATCGAGATTAAGAACTGGCCATCAGATTTGGCAACGTGGAGGTTACTCTGATGTTAAGAGAGTGGACTGTAGAGGTGAGAAAGAAAGCCTGCTGGCAATGGATTAAAAGAGAAGGTGAGAAGAATCAGAGGCAAGAGTTATAGACAACACTTTCAAGGACTTATAGCAAAAGGAGAGTGAAAAATAGGAGGTAAAGAGCTTTGGCAACATTCATGGATGGATATTGCTTTAAATGATACAGTAGAAAGGAGAAAAGTTAATCATGCAAGGGTGGGGGAATCCTTAAAAGTGAAACTTTAACAAGGTATACCTGCTGTGATTCTGTTGGAATAAAACAATTAACATTTGTCTGGGGAAGGAGATTTATTTATGTTGTCTTTCCCTCTTCATATACATGCATATCAAAAAGCTATTACATCTCCATACCTTTTAAATAAAAATATTTCTAATGGAACTACAATAGAATTATTGAAAAGTAAATGGCTGGGTGCGGCAGGTCATGCCTGTAATCCCAGCACTTTGGGCAGATCATGAGGTCAGGAGTTCGAGACCAGCCTGGCCAACATGGCAAAACCTCATCTCTACTACAAATACAAAAATTAGCCCGGCATGGTGGCATGTGCCTGTAGTTCCATCCAGCTACTTGGGAGGCTGAGGCAGGAGAATCGCTTGAACCTGGGAGGCAGAGGTTGCAGTGAGTCAAGATTGCACCACTGCACTCCAGTCTGGGTGACAGAGCAAGACTCTGTCTCGAAAAACAAACAAACAAACAAAAAAGTAAATGGTTGAAACTATGTCTTTGTCATTCTGCATCCTTCTCTTTTGCAATTGCTTCCTTTAAAACTTGTGAATGTTCTTCTTGCCCTAAGTTTTAGTTTTAAAAAAAATTCATGGTTTAAGATTAGTTACAGTGTATTCCTTCTCCAGTAGTATTTTTATTTACTGAAATATTTTAAAATAAAATGATATGAAAAATTTCTTTCGACATATTTCGTTGGGAGAAGGGGATGAATTGGGTAGTGGTGGGAACAGAGATGAAAGAAGTTGGTTTTGAGTTGATAGTTAATGAAGCTGGGTGATGAGTATTTAGTGGTCTCTTAGACCATTCTCTTTAATTCTGTATGCTTTTGAAAATGTATATTATACCATGTTAAAAACTTAAAAAATCATAGTTAATATCATGTTTAATCAAACTTAAAAAAATCATGGTTAATGTGATGCTTAACCAAAAAGAATCCATTAAATAGTGAGATTTCAGATACTTTGGTAACAAGATAAGTTATTTTGGGGCACAGGAATTTTTCTGGCATTTTCCAAACCAAATCAGCTACTTTGGTGTCAGTTTAGAGGGCAAACATGTATTATTTTTAATTGATCAGAAAGTGTTTCCATTGCTTCAAGATAGAATTAATTTGGATGCTTATTATGCAAATAATTTAGAAGGCTGAATTTTTGTTAATGATACCTTGGTTCTTTTAAATATTAGATCACTTTAGGTAACCATAAATAATTCTGGAAACACATACTATGCAATGTTTTGACAGGAAGTAATGCTGCAGTCACAAAGTAATGTTAATCTAGTTGGTTGTTGTTGAAAAGAATAATTGATAATTGAATAAATAGAAAGTAAAATTCATTGCAATAATTGTTACTACTTTTTTAAAGGAAATTGCGGTTTCTGAAATTTGTTACACTTATATTGCTATATGAAAATTTAGGAAACAGAAGTTCTTAATCTTTTAAAATAAGTAATTGTGGACACAATATTGCTACATTAACTCTTCAAATATTAATCACTAGATATTCTTTATGTCTTCCAGTTATTTATTAACCACTTTACAGTGCTATTGTTTCTCTAGCTGTGGATACTTTCCACCAGAGATAGTTAAAAAAAAACTGCAATAATTTTTTCTACATAAGAAATCTTTGGATTTGATTAATAACATCCCCCACTGCTCACTATATATTTGTTATTAAAAGTCCAGTATGTATTTAAGACCTATACATTCTGCTTCAAAAATTAAACCCAAAGTTATGTTGGTTTTATGCAGCTTCTGGTCTCTTTCGTATGGCTCTATTGCCCCCAACATTTTCCTGGTGTAAACTACTGAGCAAGGGAACAAGATTTCCTTTGTAACTGATACCTAAATTTCTATTCTGCTTTAAGCATCTAATTTGCACTGTAAAGACATATAATTTGAGACTTGTAGCTATATCACAAAAGTACAGCAGTTTATGCTGATCTCTAATTTTCTGAGTTATACTGGCTATAATTTACATTTTTTGCATGTTTTTAACTGCCATGCAAATGAGTATACATCAGAAACCTTTGTATATTGACAGAGACTGGGAAAAGGATGCCTTGTTCTCATTTCAGATAAGCATTCCTTTTCAGGTCTGCAGGTGCAGGGAGGCCCATTCATATTTCCTTCAAATCAGTTTTAGTCAATGGGTGGAAATACAATGGTTTTTCACCAAAGCCTGACTAATGTTTATAAGCACGGTTCATGTTTTTAAAAAATTTACTATAAATGGCACATTTTAGAGGCAAGTAGGACTTTTTCCTTTGCCTATACATTGGGAACAAAATATACTGAGTTAACACAAATTTTGGTCATTTTACTAGTGTGTATGTGTGTGTGTGTGCCTGTGTGTGTGTGTTTACTAAATCAGAAAAACACTTTATTACTTATTGAAACAGGATGGAATTGTGCTCAGTGGAAAATTTGCTGCAACAAATACAGGTTTCTTTTATTTAAGAGATAACTCATAATAAATGTTACTTTTTCCTTTGCCTTTCACTTATTTTGAAATCAACAAACAAGTAAAAAAAATAACCACAAGATACAGAGATTTACTCTAATTTCTCCATTTCAGATAACTGAGTAAATCTCCCTGAAACAAATGTTAGAAAACTATATATGCAACAATTAATTAAAGATAGCTGGATGTTTCCATATGTTTATACATATAAGCCATTTATAAGGTTATGATCTGCTTTGATTAGCTTCAGGCGAAAAACTGGCACATCAAAGTATAGGAGTAAATTTTAACCTATAAAACAATTACAACTATTATGTAAACTTTCCTTGATCCCCAGAGGTCAGAGAGAGGCTCTAATATAATTTAAGGGCTTGGTGAACAAACAGAGAAAAAGTGAAATTAAAAAAAAAATATGACAATAGTCACTGCATTAGCAAAAATAAATGTTGGGCCTATATTGAAAACCATTAAGAACTTAAACTGATGTTAGTCCTATTACTTAGTTGTATAGTTTTCCAACAATCCAATTTGATTGTTTCATAAATCAAAAGTCCCAAAACACCTTCTCATGTGGTATTTGACTTGAACTTTCCTTTGTGATTTGAACTCAGAAGGCAGGTATTCCTATCCTCATTTTACAGATGAGGACAATGAATTTTATAAAGCGTTAACCTCTCTACATCAGGGTAACTGACATAAATGGCTTGCCTGGACAGAAAGTTGTCAATACTGGTCCAGCATTCTTTCTGCTTCTCTGTCTCAGAGATTGATCTTAGCGAGGGATCAATTAGATAGATTTGTTTTTTAAAAAAGCTGAAAGGATGGTGACTTAAAGCATGAATATCCCTCCAGTGTGTGTAATTCATTCAGACTGAGCACTAAAGATAACAGAAACTTGGATGTTCTTTTCTGGACTCAAAAACTGAAGACTACTCCCATTATAACCAACTTACCTACAGCCTCGAGTTAAAGGCACGCTAGTTGTTAGTGGACCCAAATATTAGAAAGATGGGATGAAGATTCTGTACAGACGATGCTCTTAAGAATGGACCAGGGCCCCTAAATGACTTCTGTAAACAGGACACCCTCTCTTCCAGAATTCCTTTCTATTATGGCTTCCCCAACACTTACGAATAACACACAGCGTCTCCTGTGATCATTAGTTCTTGCTTTCACTCCAGGGCAGAAAGACACCTGGCCTAGAGACCATCTGTGCTGGAGCACCTGCCACACACCCGCCCTCCTGAAGTTCTCTGATGCCTGCAACTTACCTGGGTGGGATGCTCTGGCCGAGCAGCTCTTCGTGCCAGCCCAAGACATTGGGGAAGAGAAGAAAACAAAACAACAAAACAAAACAACTTACCACCTTGGCCCAGTCCAAGAACAAGTGAAAACACCCAGGCTGCCCAGAAGAACGAGGCGGGACCTCGCCGGTCCTTTTGCAGGCAGGCAGGAACAGCAGTAAAAAAAGCCAGGGCCGAGCCGCACATAATGCAAAACAGCCCGCCTCGCGCCCGCCGCCTGGCTGCTTTCCGGTCTCGTGCTCGCGCCTCACGAGCGCACCTCGGGGGCCGAGTGTCTCTAGGACGTTTCCCGCAGGCCCAGCAGGCGGACCCCGCGGCTCGGAGCAAGCGAAGCAGGTGAGCGGACCCGGGCACTCCTCGTCATCTCAGGGCCCTCGCGGCCCTCCTGCCATGGTACAGCGGGTCCCAGGGTCTCCGCGAGAAGCACCTCCTTCGACTGCCAAGGGCCCCGGCGGCTACTGGAGAGAAGTCTCCTCAAGGGCTCCGCAGCCTGCTCTGGGACAAAGAAAAGAGCTTTTGTTTCTCTCTAGCCGGTGGGACTTCTGCTGCATAAATCGGCTTAGCGAAGAGCCAAACACAATCAAACCCAAACAAAGCCCGAAGCTGGTGGTGAGGGGGGAACCACCCTAATGTACATTCACTGGGTGATGCTGAATCTGTGGGAGGGGACGCTGGTGAGGTCGAGGGGAAAAAGTCGATGGCGCATCAATCTGGGCGGTTTCTTCCACAGGTGGGCAGGCAGGCCACCTCCACTAGTGGCAGCTTGCAGCCTCGTCTGCGGAGCAGCGGGCAACAAGTCGGCAGCGTCCCGGCTGACGAGGGAGGAAGCTCGGGATGCCAGCAACAGGGGGAGGCGGCTGTGGGAGCGCCCTAGAAGCACCCGCTGACATCGGCAGGCACAGAGCGAGACATCGCCTCTCCCTGCCTGGCCGGGAGTGAGGCTGGTGGCCAAGAGCGCAGAAGGGGAGGTTCCCACGGGGTACGGGAACCCGGCTTTGCGGAGCGGGGGCTGCGTGCCCTGGTCGTTTTTGCCTCAGTGCGCGGCTCGGGCGTCCCACAGTCCAGAGCCCAGGTTGCTGGTGCGCTCGGAGGTGCACACTGCTAGGATGCGAGAGAGGCTGGCGAGGGACGGGAGAGGGGTGGTCCTGCTCTGCCCCCAGGGGTGGGAGACTCCACACCTGCCGGTAGCAGGGAGCACTTAGGGCGGAGAGTTGCTAGGAAACCTCCCCACGCTACCGGAGCGCCTAGCTGTTATTGCTGCCCGCAGGAGCGGCGACAGCCCTGGCGGCAGCATCAGTCACAGCTCTGAGCAGCGTGGGCGGGACATTGGTGAGGCATGAAGTCACCTCGGCCCACATTTGCTCTTTGTTTTTCTCACTCGAGCTCTTTCTTTTCCCCCTTGGCTCTGATAGTGGCCATTCCCAAGGTTCACAAGAACTCCTAAAGCGTAGCGGCGCAACAGGAATGGCACGCCTCGTTTCCTTCTCCCTCCTCCCCCGAATCCCTCCACCCTAACGCTCGCTCGAGGCGTGGTGGGACACTCGCTCAGCGGCAGCTGAGAGCAAACCCCAATCTCTCACCCCTGCGCGCTGCTTTGTTCAGAGATACTCACTGCCCCGCAGCTGCTGCATACAAAGTGGAGTCCAGGGGCCTCCCCTGACCCCAACGCCCTCTACTCAGCACTTTGTTTGCAGTTAGGAGCTCGTCCTCTGCTCCGCCACGAGGCTTCCTGGGTCTTCCTAGCCCTTGGAGAGTTGGACCCGTCTGCAGAGGCTGTTCCTGGAGCGACTGGCCAAGATTCCTTGCCGCTCCTTCTCTACTCACAGCCTTAACCCTGGGCTGGACAGCCCTGTTTTTGCCCAGGGTCTGGTGGTGGCTCTGGGCTTTTGCAAGTTACAATGAGTCTTTTGATCTTAAGTGTCACCTTCCCATTAAACGGAACAGAATAGAGACAGCAGCAAAGTGGGGAGAGAGGAGCTAAGGAGAGAAGGTGGGAGACATTTCTGCCTGCTTGCAGCTCAGAAATTTAGGTGCAAGTGGGGAGCGAGTGTTAGGCTGGGCAACTGCCTGTGAAGCAGCGTGCCTCCTCGGGTCCTGTCACTACTACGCTAAGTCCAGGGTGGGAACTGAGTACCCCGCTTTGGAAACAAGGAAACGCGGTGATGGTTCTCTTTTCCCACTAGGGGCAGGAGTGGTTCCCAGTCGAGAAGTTTGACCTCATGTTTTAATACAATCCCCGCCTCTTACAGGCATCAGACCAGTCCAGCCAGGTCAAGGTGAAATATGCGGGAGTTTCCCCCATTCTCATTTGTTTAATAGTTTCCGTCTCCTTATTTGTAGCTAAAAAAAAAAAAGAAGAAAAAGAAAGGTAGGAGGCATGCTCTCTCTCTTTTTTTTTCTGTTGACTGAGTGAATGGAAAGTACCTGGTTAATAAACCACAACATCGAAACTACCCCTTGCAGGTGTGGACTGCACAATGGAGTGCACAGAATTAGTTCAGCAAATCAGGAACCCAGCTGGAAAATTAAAAGCGCTGCGGATCTACAAAGCAGGTCCTTTTTAGAGACCAAAGCCATGATCTAATCCTTAGTAATATAATTCTACTATAGGTGATGTACTTTAAATAAACAGAAATAAATCCAGCTCAGCTTTAATTTTTATTTTCTTAGTTCCAAGTTTGAACAGTTATGGTTTTGTTTTGTGGTTACCTTAATGCAAAGGCCTAAAAATTAGTTAGGATGAGTGTGATGACTTGAAAATTTCAACACGGAAGTATCATATTCAATATCTGATTGGTGATTCTTCCACTGGGCAGCCAATGTATTTTTTAGAGGTTATGCCCCAGATCTACTGAATGCAGCCACCCTCGAGACAGTGCAGTGCTCCAATTAAAAATAATTAAATCTCTAATTCCCATAAAGACGTTTCACTACACTTTACACTTTAAAGTGTCTATCATATCACCATTCCATAGTATTCTAAAATACAACCCTTGGTTGCTGGGTTGTAAGTGGCAGTTACAGTAATAAATCAAATATAAATGTATGCAAACAAGAAAGGATGTAACTTTATGAAATCGATGAGGTCTGTACTAATTTTTGTAACTATATTTTTAGGTGTTGGTATATTGCATATACTAATCCAAAACAACCATGTAGCAAGAAGAATAAAATGAAGTTCAAAAATCTGTTTTGGGAAATTTTGAAACCATTTACAAAGGAAGATTTTTACATTTTGTTACAATGACACCTATGCAAATATATGTCAAGATGCCAGTTTTGTGGAATTGTTGAAGAATAAGCACAATACCATTTAGTACCACTTCTTGGTTGTTAAGAGGCTGTAACTCTGGTTGTCAAAATAAGATAAAATATCCTAGCTGTGAGACTGTGACCTCTGTTATTTATTTACAAACAAGTTATCCTCACATTCTGGGCTATAAACATAAATGTAAATTCTCCTGAAAGACTGCAAATCATTTGTAGGGTTTTCTTCAAGTAAATACAACTATTGGCCCTGGCCCAGGAACAAAAAGTTTGCTTGTTTCCAATAAATGTCACTGGTCACCATAATTCATCCTTTTTCCTATAAGGAAATGTACAGCATGCTTTAAAGAAATGCAATATTGTTATCTTCATTGTAATACCTGAAGAATTCTAATAAAGGAAAAATGTTTCAGAAGATGGTGACTTGATTAATTTCTGTTTTTCTATTATGTTCTGCTATCTTACTTTGAAATTTCTGACAGTTATTTTTTCACCATTTGTGGTAATGAGAGGAAATGAAATTTACAGAGAGTCTAAAAATAGCATTTTGGTTGTTCATTCCAGGCTTCCTATCATTAGAGTCTTTGAGCTGAGTTACTAAAAAGTCATAAAATTAGATGATTTAAATTCCTTCCCTAATCCTTTAACCTTGATTCCTCACTAATTCAGTTTGTGGTGAGAATGAATAAGCTATAGAGAGGTAGCAGGAGTGAGGGAGACATCCAGACTGTTTTTTAAGACATGGGATCTTGCTATCTCATTATGTTGCTCAAACTGGCCTTGAACTCCTGGTTCAAGCTTGAACTCAAGCTATCCTCCCACCTCAGCTGTGCAGCTGGTATTATAGGTGGAAGACACCACATTCAGCTGTGACTATTCACACTTTAACTAGATTTGCCCAAATGATTGATCTTGTAGTGGCACCTAAAGACACATTTGAATTTTAATGTTATATCTTTTTGAAGTTGGAATCAGAGCCATTCAGTAGGTTTTGAGTGGATATTCACAAGTTATCTATGAGCTTGCCCAAGACATCGCAGAAGATAAATGGTCAAAGCAGTGAGATATATTATTGTGACTATGAATTCTAGCTTCTTCTAATGATAAAGTAAATAAGTTGCTTGAAGAGACTTTTCACTGGCTTGTTACATAAGACAGTGTTTCTCATACTGTAAACTGAAGACTGCATATAATACAATCCCCCCATAGAGTAATTCTGAGTTTTAATTCCTTGTCTCTATTCCAGGAGATTCTGAATTAGTAGATCTCATATGGTGCTCAGCAACCTGCATTATACCAAGGTCCTCAAATGGTTTTCATATGCTTTAAAGTTTAAGAGCCTCCTACTTTTATGGGTTAATGCAGAGGCTCCTCAAAGGCTTCATGAGTCTAATGACAAAGTCCAGTGTCAGGTGCAAATTCAAAGAAAAATGAACTTCTGGAGCCAATGTCTCCTGCCAAGATAGTTTGTGGATGACTCAATCTATGAGATATTAATGTTTTCTGAAACAAGACTTCCATGATTAAGCTGAAAATACTGAATTAAAGTCAAATTAAATCCTTTACTAGAGGAATTCCCAGAAATCCAGTAGACCAGCATGTGATTAGATTCTCCAAAGGAACAACCCCTTATTCAGCGAACATCTCACAGATTAATTTTCTTCAAAGTATGCTAGAGAGCTAGCCCCATTTTACAAGTGTGGAAATGGAGACAAAGATTGGCAAAAAAACCAACCTCACATTTTCAAGGAAATTCATGAGCAGGCAGGAAAAAGAGCTCTGAGTTTTCTCAATATCTCATATTGTGATGACTTATAGTTTCAAGTAAGGAGTCAGATTGTGGATGTTCTAAGTAAAAAGGGAAATTATTGGCTGGGTGCAGTGGCTCACAATTGTAATCCCAGCACTTTGGGAGGCCGAGGAAGGCATATCACCTAAAGTCAGAAGACTAAGAACAGCCTGGTCAGCATGGTAAAACCCCGTCTCTATTAACAATATAAAAATTAGCCTGGCATGGTGGCATGTGCCTGTAGTCCCAACTATGCAGGAGGCTGAGGCATAAGAATTGCTTAAACCCTGGAGGCAGAGGCTACGGTGAGCTGAAATTGTGCCTCTGTACTCCAGCCTGGGTGATAAAGTGAGACTCTGTCTCAAAAAAAAAAGGGAGGGGGGTTAAATTATTGGAAGAAAATTGGGAGCTCATAGAATCAGCAGGAAGCTGGGAAACCAAGACTAACCAAGGCTAGAAAACGCAGAGGCATAAGCAGTAGCAGAAAGTGTCTAACTCTTAAGAATGACTTTGAATCCTCCCTTTGCTTTGGATCATTTGCTTAAGATTCAAAAGCCTTGTTGGGAATATCTAATTTTCAGAATCTTCATCACATGTTAGTACACTGGCTTTCTGGGCGTGGGAAAAGAAGAGGAGGGGCTCTTGTCTTTTGCTTTCTTGGTAGAAAATATGGTACTTTTGAATGAAACATTTTATTTGTACATAGTCTAATTCTGTGCACAGACCCTGGGCATAGTTTTATCCTTTTATAGTGTGCAGTAAACTAATGCTTTTTTAGCCTTTAACTCATCATCAGAAAGATGATGTCTGCCCTGTCTCACCACTTCATCGCACACAGCTGGACGTCTGTATGCTGGAAGTGCTAGAGAATGAACAAAATTTCTGGATGGTGTCTCAACTATGTACAGACCAGATGGGAAATGAGGTATAAATACCCCAGCTCCCCTGTTTCTTGTATGAAGTCACTTTAGATCTTGTGTGCTACACTATTTTTGGACTAGTTTTTAATTTTCAATCTATCATGGATTGAGAAATAAAAGAAAGTAAAATTAATTATTGAAAAATGGGTGTCACTAAAATGTCAAACTGCTATAAAAGTTTCCTAGTACTTTTAATTTTTATACATTCTTTGTCCTGGGCCAGTCCTACAGTAGAAGGACTGGTACTGTCACACACATTACCTTTTGAGTAATATTTAGCACCATTTTCCAAAGTTCCCCTGTAGGAGTAAGTTGTACTTGACCACAGTGATAATTGCATTCAAATAGATCCATCATTGGTTGTCTTTCCTTCCTTCATTTCCCTGTGACCCCTGATGTCTCCTAGTGTCAGGGTCTTCTT